ATGAATGAATGAATGAATGAATGAATGAATGAATGAATGAATGAATGAATGCATTTTTATTAGAGTCTGTGCCGGTCAATAAAATACAATAAACTACACAGCTGGCACATCACGTTTAACATAAATAAAATTAGGTTAATAACACTCAGGATGGTTACAACAGCAATGACTGGATTCTTGTCTTAATAGCAGTGTAAAAGAACTTTGTTTTAGCTCACATCTGCAAGACAATTACATCAAATGAACCTTTTCTTCCTGGGAACCTCAAAAATAGTGGATCTGCAAGTTCCTCCCTCATACCCCAATAAATGATACAGTACAGGAGAACTTAGGTAACGGTCTCCAAGGTCACTGGGACAGGTATTTCTGGAGGTTTGGGGCTTGTTGATTTCACCCAGGTTATCCCTCATGCAGCCAAGTCAGTGAAATGGTCATAAAAATACCTGTTTTTGTTGTTTACCTGGAACTAACAGATACTGAGCCTTGCGCAGTAGAATGTCAGCCAAGGTTTGGATTTCATAGACGGGTTGTAGTAGCCTTATCACCAGAATAAGTTGTATATCTAAATTATTTTGTCTAGAGATACATGTTAGGTTTGGATGGGGTGGGAAAGGGGGTTGTCTGTGCATGCACGTTTGCAACCTGTAAATACAAAATATGCTGGTGAGATGGTTTTCACTGTTTAGTATCAACTCATGTATGCTAATTCTAACTAGTCGTCTTGTTTTGCACTATGTGATATCTGATATCTCCCCCTAACAACGAACATTGGTCTTTGGTGAACTCTGACTCTCCCAGGTCGTCCAGGTTAGATTCTTAACTTGGCTAGTTTGCTTGACTGTATTGGTTGCTTGATAATGTTATTTTGCTGTTAACTTAGATCCTGGTTGCATAAGAAGTAATGGTTAATCATGGTTTAACATTACCCCATATTAACACAGTGCTATGTGGCCATAAAGAAATCAGAAGATTTCTATTTCATCCTTGGCTATCTACAGTTTTGCCTCATATCCAAATTTAAAGCAGTCCATGGTTAGCTTGATTAATTGAACCAAGCCAACTTCAAAACATCACCTGTAGGAGCACAACACATTGAACCACAATCCAGCCCACCCCCATTTAAGCCTTGTGTGTTGTGCAAACTTTGAGAACGGGGATGAGTATATCACGTGTAAGCACATTTTGTGAACACAACCATACTTTATGAAGCTGGTTTGTTTCTGTAAACCACTGTTACAGTTGAACAAATGAATTCAGTTGTTGTGAATTGAAAATGTGGAAACCAAACAGCTAATTTGTTTTTCCTAATTGTGTTGAAAAAGGGTTTTGCAACTGGGGCTTTTGCACTTAATTACAACATGTGGAGGGGGATTATTAAGCAGAACCTTGCCAGTATTTTAAGAATTGTGATTAGACCTTTCTTACTGTTTCTGTTCACATAGGATAACAGTTACCAGACCCATCTTTTTTGTTGTCTCAACAATTTTCCAGTTGGCATTAATTCTGCAGTCTTAAAAATGCAAGCTGGGTCTGGTGAATTATTGCCCCTTGATATATGCTATGTGTTCCTTCTACTTCTACAGTTGAAAAAAATTCATGAGTTTTGAGATCAACATTCCCTTTGGTAATCGAACTTTTAGAAACACACACACACACTAAATGGTTAATTTAAGAAAATCATATTCATAGGGCAGAAATTGCATAAAGAAAATTGTCAGCATCTTCAGGAGAGACACCAGTTAATTCATTTAAATCAGTCTTCTCATCACTGGAGGGTTTCAAGCTAAAGGATGGATAGCAGTTGGTCTAGGATGGTCTGAGGATTCCTCCCCTGGGCCGGGGTTGGACTAGAAGACCCAAACTTCCTTTCCAGCCCAAGGATTCTATGAATGCATCTGTTAGATGGACCATGTTACCATTGTGACATCGTCCATCTAACTCTGTACCATCACATTCCCTCTCCGTGTGGTCCCAAAAAAATCAGTGTGCCCCCTCCAGGCCGGTCCCAATATGGAATAAAACTAACTTGATCTCAGCCAAAGGCCAAGAAGCCATCAAATAAATGCAATGAGAAAAGGTGAAATGTGCTTTTCCTCAGAAATGAAGGTACAAAGCATTATAGATTGATGTAGCAGAACCACCCAGACTTTTAGGCAAGTCCTTCCTTGGCTGTGCTTTACCCTGAACATAAAGTTGCCCACAGTCCTAAGGGACATGGTCTTTTAGCCCAAGGCCATACTGCTAATAGTGCTGATTCTAAAAGTGAGGTCGCACTGACACACCAATTCTGTGTTGCAACTTGAAGGTCTTCCTGGGCCCGAAGGACCGCGTGGACCCCCCGGGATTGGGGGAGTGAAAGGAGAAAAAGGAAACCCTGGCCAGCCAGGTCAGCCTGGACTGCCTGGACTGAAGGGAGATCAGGGGTCACCTGGACACCCGGTGAGTGCAAAATGGGAGGGCCAGAAAGTTGGTTTCTAACACAGTGGAACTAAGAAATGGGGAGGGGGATTTCGCACCTACTTAATTTGAGAATAAATTCCATTGACTTGAGTGGAATTTCTTTCTAAGCCTAGGAATGTTAGCTGTTTATCTGGAAGGGTATCTTCATAAGAGAGCGAGCAGAACAATCAGGCAGAGAAAGTTTGCTTGTTTTCTCACTGATGTTATGGCTGATGATTGACATAAGCACGCAAGGAAATTCCCCTTAATATCAGTGTAACCTGCAGATACCCTTTGGAATTATAAAAACACCAGCTTTGGGATGAAAAGCATAAATCCAATTCTAATCCAGCCTTCTCTAGTCTGCTGTCCTCTACATGTGTTGGAGTGGCTTCAGAATGCACATTTAGTCCCCACTGCACCCAAAAAAGTGTATATTTCTTTTTTTCCTGGGGCTTAGCATGAGATGTGAATGCAGCCCTTGTGTGTTGAAGTAAGGGTGCACAACCTCAGGAACTGGGGCTGATTGCAAGCCCCCACAGTGATGGTTGCAGTCCCTAGCATTCCCCCAAGGCCCATTAAATGTAATCATATTAAAAGTATTTAATTGTAACTACAGTGAAGTCAAATTACATTTACCTTTCTACCTGAAAACACCCTTTTCTTCTAATGCTGTCCTCTCCCATAACACACATCCGAAGGGCCCAGATTATGTTCACTCCTACAATGACTGGACTGAGGCAGAATATTCTACACTCTACTTATTGTGGGGGATCTGCTTTTGAAAGCAGATTAGAAGTACCGAAGCAAGGACCTATGTGAGGATATTTTCAGGAGACCCATTTCAGATCATTCTACCAGGTACAGGTTCAGGTACCTTCCACCATCTGAATGTCACAGGATTGCTTGGAAAGTCACAGAAGTGGATTGGAGCATGCATTATTTGGCTCTGAAACACGGAAGGTGCTTCAGATCTGGTGTGGGCACATTCAGTGTACTTGTAGGTGGCATCTGAAAGAAGCCACACATTTTCCTAAGCTTTCATGGTAGCCCACTGCATGTTTTTGTTCATGAGGCAGCATCATATAATTTGTACCAGATCTGAAAACACTTTTCCTTCTCCAGATCTGAATATTACACTCCCCTGGGGGAAGAGGTGCAGGTGCCCTTCTGATGGAATCCATCAAAATACTGTTCTTCAAAGGATAAGCTTCATGCCTGCCTGCCATTGGGTGGGCGATGATTGCTCTTCACAACAGCCAATGCTTCAGTATCAAAGAATGCCCTTGATGGCTGATGTACTCACTCTACCCATATTTCTTACCCAACATTCTCTTTCTCATTGGCCATTAAGGCATGTTCTCCTTTGCTTCTCAGCTGACCTACCTTGTTTCCTTTTGATATCCTTTGATGATGGAAATAATAACCATTGTTGTGATGACACAGGGTGAACCTGGCCGTCCAGGCCTGAACGGGATGAAGGGAGATCCTGGCGTTCCAGGAGTACCAGGATTCTCAGGTACTCAGAACAAAATGCACCTTGGTCATGATCGCTCACACTTTGGTCATTTCCTGTTTGGATTACTGCAGTGTGCTTCGCTTGGGGCTGCCCTTGAAGACCACTCGGAAACAACTGGTCCAGAATGCAACGGCACACACAGTATTGGGTGTTTCTAGGCTCACCCACATTACACCCCTGTTGCACGAGCTGCAGTGGCTCCCAGTTTCCTTCCAGGTGCAATTCAAGGTGCTGGTTATTACCTTTAAAGCCCTACGTGGCATGGGACCAGGTTATTTGTGGGACTGGCTCTCCCTTGGAGTATCTGCCAATCCCACTAGACCAGATAGAATGGGCGTGCTCCAGGTCCCTTCTCTGAAATCTTGCCATGTAGTGGGACTTGTAAGCATACCTTTTCTGTGGTTGCCCTTACCTTATGGAACACCCTCCCTGATTTAGTAGGCCCCCACACTTTTAGCCTTTCAGAAGGCCATCAAGACATAGCTTTTTACCCAGATGCTTGGGGCAGCCTTGGAAGGCCTTCTCCATGGCTTTATCTATCCTTCATTGCAACCTTTAGAGCTCCGGTTGCTTCCCCCATGACAGCATATCTGAACCCTAAGTTTGGGAGTTTGCCTCCCAAACTTTCCACTCTAAAATCTCAGAAGAAAAGAGAGAGAGACTTCTAAAATATCAGTAATGGTTTCTGACAATTTCAGTAAAAATATTGTATTTGCAAGATGATGTAAAAGAGGGTATCAGAAGATTCCTCTTCCTTGAGGTCTCTGCCCTTGTGAAGGTAGAAATAGTGGACCATTTCCTCCTGCCTTGTCTTTTTTGTTGAGAAACCCTTTGGCCTTTTTACTGAGGTTTTCCACCAAATGGGGTTGGTGCAGTTTTAGTCAAGGCCATAAATTGTGCATCTCTCAATGAGATAAATGACATTTTGGAAGTTTATTCATACATGATATCTCCCCTATAAGAAAGCTAAACAAAAAACTCTCCAGTGAGGGTGGTGAGGCAAAGCATAGGCTGTTGATGTCCACCACATATTAACCTGTGTGGGTTTTGGCTTTTCAGGTTTGAAGGGACTCACCGGACCTCTGGGACCTCCTGGCCCTCAAGGAGACCTTGGGCCCCCTGGCTCACCAGGTAGGAATTCTGAGATTAACGCTAAAGGACATGGCTTCCATTGCTGGTTTTTAAAAAATGTTTTCATTATTTTCCTAAAGGCAAGGTAACATAAAATGGTTTCACAGCACAGAAAAATGTCCACGTGCTACACCTTAATCGAGTGGATTCAACAGTTCTAGAGGGAAGATTTAATAAGATGCCAGACATGCAAAGATTATGCCCTTGTGGATTTGGGGAGGTTGAGTGAATCAAACACATAATTTTGAGAGATTGTAGGAAGAGAGCTGTATCAGATTATGGTAGCCCAAAACTCAGAGTCTGGAAGCACCTTTAAGACTATTCACTTTTTATTTTAAGCCATTGTTTTTGTGAGTTGCAGATCGTTTCATTAGAGGCAACGAATGGCTTGACTGATGTGAGATTTAAATACATAGGGATGGGTCTTCCCAAGACCACCAGTTGTGCACTGATGATGTAAGTCATTTAGTCCACCCATTCCTTTGACATAGGGGAACTAGTACATGGCAAATGCTGCCTGGTGTCTTATTGGAGACCATTATTCCAGAGAAGAATTGGCAACCTTTTTTCACTACTAGAGGGCACATTCTGGAAGAGATAATTTCCTGAAGTGGGACAAGCAGTGGGTGGGAACATCCAGTCTTTCTCTAACACCCCCTTTTTCCTCTTTTGGCATCTTCTTTTCTCCCAAATCACTTACAAAGCTTTGAACTGTTCTCAGGCATAGGGATTTTAAAATTAGGCCAACAGTTACATGAAGTTAGCCTCAAAGCTACATTTGACTTAAGGGCTTGATGGTGAAGACATTTCTTTAGAGGTTCATCTGGAATCTTTCATAACTGATGCTGTTGGATTTAGCCTTGTGCTCTGGGGAAATGGCAAGCAAATATCTTCCTTCTTCTCTGTGACAGCCTTTCAGGTATTTGAAGAATGTTCACCTGGCTTCTGTCAGCCTTCTCATCTTACAGACTAAACATGCTCCATTCTTTCAACCTTTTCTCACAGGACTCATTTTTCATACCAAAAAGGTTACCTTTATCCACAGGCATTCTGGTTTGTCTACATTCTTCTTAAAAGTGGGGAATCTTTCAGCAATTTCTCTCTCTCTCTCTGCCTTCAGCTCATTCACTTCATGCTTGTTAGAGGTTATGCTTGTTAGAGTACAAATGGGAAATCTAACCAACAGAGATGGATAATCAAAGTCAACTGGTTCTCTTCCTTCTTCACTACAACAGTAGTTAACAACACACAAAGCAAGATTTTGCTGTGTTGTGTTCCCTTCAAAAGCAATTAACTAGCATATGTGGATTTCAACTTTTAGCCCCTCTTAATGCAGATCCTTCCTATATCCTTTTAGCTTAATCTGTACATGAAGTATTGTCTCATAACCTCAACAATTTATTCTGGATCCAATTTTCTTGGGGTCTGTGCTAGAGTGAATGCAATCAGTGTTATACAATGAACTTTCCATTCATATCATTTTGAGCAGTGGGCAAACATTTACACAAAGCGTGCAGCACACAGGTCAGTCTTTACCTTTTGACTGACTACCTTGAGTTGACAAATGCAGAACTTTATCATCCTTCTGGGGATGAAAGGATTTCTGCTCCAACACAACTATAATTTTGGGGAATACCAGCATAGTCCAAGCATATTAGGAAACTAGGAATACAGTTGTTCCTCTTCAGTGAGGTTCTTCCTTAGCTGGCAGAACACTAAACTGGCATGAAAGTTGCCCCAGTTGCTGATCCATATCCTTCTTCTCTTGCCTCTATTTCTAGGCACTGTACTCCTCTACTTTCCTCTAAGAAAAGGATAATAAAGTCTTACAGATTTTTCCTATCTTGAAGCTGCTCTTGGACAGTGTTGGAACATTAAATACTACTTCAGCACCTAAGGATGAGATAAGGCTGTCTTACTTGTGAGCTGAGATGAAGACACTGTTATGAGAAGACAGCAGAATAAAAGAGGGCACTAGGGCATATCCATGCTATTGTTTGGTGCAAGCCCCAGAGCCAAATAAACCCTATGCTAGATGGCATTCTTTTTTCATGATGGGTAGGACTCAAGAAGGGGGAAAATAAAGTTTCCAAGACAGACAAAATCTTAAAATAACTGAGCTGTGGGAGAAAATGCAAATCTTGGACCCAATCTAGATCAGACTGAATCCCAGTATTGCTGAGTATAATTGGTAGCTAAAATTGGTGTCTATCCTTTGTTCCAGATGTCAAGTGTTTAAAAGGCAGATTGTTTAGTAGAATAATAATAGCAATAGCAGCAAGTTTAGCCATGACTCAGAAGTCTTTTCTGTAAGCAGCTGGCCTTCTCTGCTCTAGAAGGCAAGTCTTAGGAAGCTTTGTAATTCCATAAAACAAAATTGACCATTGCTGGAATTCTTGTTGATTGATTGATTGATTGATTGATTGATTTGCTCATATATTCTTTGCCTTGTCAGTACCAAGGAGGATGCAAAACCTACAGTAGATAGACCAGTCTGTGTCTAGCTCAGTCTGAAAAACAGTTCTGAGCCCAGGATGGAGCTAATCCATTTTCTTCTGGAGACATGTGATAATGGCAGATATTTACCTTGTTTTATTCCATCCTTTTTCATGAACTATCCAAAGGACCACCTGATTAAATTGTCTAGGGTTCTCAACCTTTCCTTTACCCTAGGTCCTCCAGGGATACCTGGTCCAGCTGGGCAAACAATTGTGGTTAAAGGTGATCAAGGACCACCCGGTCCTCGAGGGCAGCCTGGAATGAAAGGTCTACCTGGACTCCCAGGACCTCCAGGTTTGCCAGGTAAGTCATTCCTGGACATGTAACAGTTTGGATGAAAGCAAATAGACATATGTCTTCTGACATTCAACTCAGGCAATACTGTAAGTGCTCAAGGGCATTTGCAAGCAATCTAAATGAATTAATTAAATAAAATGCATTCATAGGTCCAGTCGGTCTTCCTGGTGATATCGGACGTGAGGGTCTTCCTGGTTTTGATGGTCCAGCAGGGCGTAAAGGGGAGAGAGGAGTCCCAGGCCAGCCAGGTAGAGTGAATGTTCCATTTCTGTTGATGAGAATGGGGAAGAGGGGGGAGTCAAGCAATGAAGAGAGACACAGACCCACTGTTATTTGGGGGTTCAACTGAATATCCAGAAAGAACAAGATCTTTGGAAGCTTTTCTTCAGCTTTTATTGACAGAAAAGAGGCAGGGCAGTGTCAAAGCCCACTGCAAAACAACACCATGAAATGCCTTGTGTCATATGTCACAGCTTGTCTTGCTTCAGCTGTGTTGGGATAGGAAGCAAAGCCTCTGTAACTGATCTTAAGGGAAGTCCACCCAAAATTTGCCCCAGAGAAGCTATGTCAACTTTGGGCTTGCCCAACCTATTTAGAAGGCTTCTTAATTTGAGATCTCGGATTTGCATCTGTCTATCTAGGGAGAGGTGAGATTGACTTTGTTCATCCTGTGCAAACAGGTTTGCGGGGTTCACAAGGACCCCCTGGCCCTGATGGATTGCAAGGTCCTCCTGGACTTCCAGGAACAGGTTCAGTTGCCCATGGATTCCTTATAACTCGTCACAGTCAAACCACCGACACCCCCTTCTGCCCACCGGGAACCAGCCAGATCTATGATGGATTTTCTCTTCTCTATGTGCAAGGAAATGAAAGAGCTCATGGGCAGGATCTGGGTAAGGTTCCATGTTTGCTGTGGGTGTTTTTTGGTTTTTTTTAATGAACATGGCATTGGCAGCTGTTTCTATTATAATCTTAATTCATATTTCAGTCCTAGCGTGCTTTTTTCTTTCTTTTCTAAAGCAGCCTGGAGTGGTACTTTGGGGAAGTAGTGGCTTGGCTGAAGGTTCTGTCACTGCATCCATGAGAATCTTGCAAAACAGATCCATTTTACTGGAGGTTTTGTGCAGAGCCACAAAATAAATCTGGGTGGGGGGCTGTACCTAAAGCCACTGGTCTCCCTCAACCAAGGCCACTTGACCATCCATTCTGATGGGATCTACATCTTCTGGAGCAATGTTTGGGGAGCATCTTCTGGAGTAAAACCATGAAAACTGTAAGGACTGTGTGAAGACCCTTTGCCTAACCTGGCACCCTGCAGCTCCTGGAATCCTCATGTTGACTGGGAATTCTGGGAGCTGTAGTTCTAACATATCTATGGAGTACCAGAGTGGGAAAAGCTATTCTGCTGATACAGAAAGCAAACTTGTTTTGTATCTCATTCATATGAATGGCATCTTTTGTTTGCTAGGCACTGCTGGCAGCTGTCTCCGACGTTTCAGCACCATGCCCTTCATGTTTTGCAACATCAACAACGTCTGTAATTTTGCATCTAGGAATGACTACTCTTATTGGCTTTCCACCCCTGAGCCGATGCCAATGAGTATGGAGCCACTAACAGGAAAGAGTATTCAACCCTTTATTAGCCGGTGAGCAAGAAACTCTTGGATCTGAAGTAGAAGAGAGAAAATCATGTGTGTCCTTTTTTATCCCTCTATACGATGATGCTGATGTTGGAAGTGGGAAACCATATAATACTGTAGAGCAGTACAGTGGAACCTTGGTTTATGAACATAATTCGTTCCGTGACTCTGGTCGTGACCCGAATTGGTCGCGACCCGAAGCAAATTTTCCCATAAGGTTCAATGTAATTACCGTTAATCCGTTCTGGCATGGAGGACAGGGAGGCGGCTATTGCTTGGAGGGAGAGTCCCCCTCCCTATGACCACGTGTCAGGGGCGGGAAAATGGCCACGGATCATGCGTCGGGGCGGAAAAATGGCTGCGGACCACGCATTAGGGGCGGAAAAATGGCCGCGGACCACGTGTCAGGGGCGGAAAAATGGCCACAGACCACGCGTCAGAGGTGGAAAAATGGCCGCGGACCACGTGTCGGGCGGAAAATGGCCACGGACCACGTGTCAGGGGCGGAAAATGGTCGCGGACCGGGTCACGGGAGGGAAAATGGCCACGGATCCTGTTGGTAACCCGAGACGGAGTTCGCGAACCGAAGCAAAATTTTGCGGCCGGAGCTGGTCGTCACCCGAAAAGTTCGTAAACAGAAGCGTTCGTAACCTGAGGTTCCACTGTAGTTCTACAAAGCTACAAGAAATGGAAGGCTATATTTTATGTAGGATGCACCTTTATATACAAAGTAAAGCATTTCTTTTTTCGCATGGAGATGTTCCTATCTTAGGTAGGGTTGAATCCTTAGAAAGCTATAGGCTTTCCTTATGTTCCAATATGAAGAGCATCTACACTTTCATATAGAAGTCATAGCTCAACAGGAAAAGACCCGTTACTTTGCCTTCTCATGAAAGTTGGTCTTCCAGTGATGGATGTTAAACCCAAGACATCAAAACATCAAGTTCATCTTTGCCTAACCCCAAATTAACTTGTTGAATTCTACCAGACGTAGCTTAGAATCAGGGGTTGAGATTGTGGCTCTCCAAATCTTGATCATTACAATTCCCAGCAACCTTCAACACTGGCCATGCTGTCTGCATTTTCCAGCAGTATCTGGAAGGCTGTCAATTTCTTGTCCTTAGCTGAGACACGTTTAAAAGACGGGGTATTGTCCAATTCTTAGAGGAACAATTTGTGAGCTGCTAATAACCTTCATGGTTCAACAGAACCTTCCTGATTGGAGACAGGATGCCACTGAGTACCAACTGATGAGAAGAGCAAAGTGGAGAGACTTCTGAATATGTGTGTTGCTTATAGACTTCGCTGAAATATCTGGTTGGCCCATAGATGAAACAGGTTGCCAAACTATTGCTCTGCTTTTATTGTTTTCAAACTTTTAATACAGCTTCTTTTCACACATTCTTACCCTGTCCCCCTTTTTTAGTTGCACAGTCTGTGAAGCTCCTGCTATGGTCATAGCAGTCCACAGTCAGACCATTCAAATTCCATCATGTCCACAGGGCTGGGATTCACTGTGGATCGGATATTCATTCATGATGGTATGTGGTGCCTTCACTAAATGCTTTTATAATAATGATCCAGATGTCTGTAGGTCTTTTCATCTTAGTAGTCCCTTTCAGGCAGAGAGGAGTAGGAGAAGTGGAAAAAAGGATAAGGAAGAGAGGACACCTCTGACCTAGGAGAATGTAGGGAGCTGGGGAAATGACCTTGGAGAAGGAATCCAGAGCCCGTGTGGGAAACAGTGCAAAAAAAGCATGTATTAAATCCAGAGAAGTGGGAGATCATTAAAAGGGACTTTTAAGGGAAGACATGGCCAGATTTTCAAGATTCTGTTATTATAGCCTGTCTCAATGAAGTATAGTTCTAGTCTTCCTGTGGAGTTGGTTTCCTGATCAGGTCTACCTCATACAGCTGACCGAGAGAGAGCACCCAAATGAGAAATTAGAGAATTAAAATCGTAGATTGTTTTTTCCCAACTTGGATGTCCTCCAGATGTATGGGCTTTAACTTCCTGAATTTTCTGCAATGGCCATGCTGGCTAAGGAGGGCTCCAGAATTGGGGAAGGCTGGCATAGATGTGCCAGCTATCTATCTGTGCTCTGGATGGCTTACAACAAGTGGCAATTGTTTAAAAAGGTAAAAGAGTTGTCAAGTCAAACGTGTCTCCTGATATCTTCATGGACTTGTCTGTGTGGTTTGATTGGTAGCAATATGGAAGTGCCTTGCCATTGTCGCTCGCCAGGTTTTATGGGGACTAGATATGTTGAATCTGTCTAGGTGGTTCTCTTGATTTATCCTGATCCTCATGGCTGCTGGCAAGCACTAGTGCCGTCATATTAAATTTCCCTGTGCTGCATGGCAGAGTAGTAAGATGATGACACCAGGAAATCAAGCTAGGATGGCCAGGTCTTTGTAAGATCTGCTATAAGCATCAATGGCCCATCAAAGGAGACCTGTGGAGACCCTGGTACCACACATTGCCTTAAAGTCTTCTCAGACCTGGAGTTAGCTCTGTTCCTCTGACTTGTGTTTTGAGAGACTTCCTTGAGCAGCTAATGGGTCACCCTTCCAGCGAGGTGCACTCCAGAGGCATCCAACAACAACTCTTCTAATGCTCAGCTGCTAATAATGGGAGAGATAAGCCAATGAATCTGGAAAGCCTCAGATTGCAGAAGGGTGTGCCAAGGATACATGTCTGTTGTTCTTGTTTCATTAAAAATTAAGATGATTCAAGATGATGATAACGGGCTTCCAGTTTTCATTCTCCCTATTCAAGGGCCATTGAACGCCAGATCTTTCAGATCCATAGTGGGAGAAAGCTACGGTCCAAGAGTGGATTCCTCTAGTTAATCACTGTAGGGATCCTACTGAAGATTCTTGGGAGCAATTATTCTCCTTTCTTTTATAGTAAACATTTTGGTAATTCTTGCAACTGACATCTGTCCTTGGAGGCAACTTGAATACAACAAAACTGTTATTTTGGGGGCATGCCTTTCTGCAGGAGCCTGGATGATGGGAGAAGAAAAGTGTCTCTTGAATGGTTTAAGGTGGTCATTGATTGACAGAGTGATTTGGCTTATTTTAGCACACCAGCGCTGGGGCAGAGGGATCCGGACAGGCCTTGGCTTCTCCTGGTTCCTGCCTTGAGGAATTCCGCTCAGCTCCCTTCATTGAGTGCCATGGCCGAGGGACCTGCAACTATTATGCCAATTCATACAGTTTTTGGCTGGCAACTGTGGAAATAGCTGAAATGTTTAAGTAAGTGTGCCTCTTTCCTTTTTTTTAATGCCCAAGTTGGGTTCACACATCATACTAAGCCCTGGTTTCTTTAACTGTAGCTGGTTGAATGAACCGTGGTGGCTCAGTTTACCCATCACACTAAGCCACACATCACTGATCCTAGCCATGAGGGCTGGATACACACCAGCAAACAATTCATTATGGTTTAGCATGATGTAGGAACCTGGAAACTGAGCAATTGGGCCAGAGTTATTCAAGAAAAGACACTCTCCATATCTCAGAATTCTAACCTCATTGGATCAATGGGAACCTTTGGAATTTTAAGAATATGTTATGGGCCCTCTTGCAAAATGATTGCCAGGATAAGTATGGACATCACAAAATATCCAGAAGATGCTCTTTTCCATTCATCTTACCGTTGTTATTTTCTGGTTGGATGAGTATGTTTCCCAACAAAGCACTGAGCTACTGTACAACCTCCTATTATTTTTATTAAGAATGCTTCTGAGATCTATGCAGTCCCAGGAGCGTTCTTGGCCCATAACCATGAAGTTCGGGGCCGATACTTTGCTTTGCAGCTTGCTACTTTCCTAGTTATTGTCGTTTAACGAAGAGAAACTAAAAATAAGTAGGGTGACAAGCCTGTGAAAATTATTGCTGTTCTCAGCGGCACCCAGGTTTTATTTCTTTTAAAGTACTTTCACCCCTTGTTTCAGCCAAAAAAATGAATAGCCTTCAGTGTTGCCTCAAAAATCTCCATGCAAAAAGGATGAACCAAAGAGAACTTGGGTTTTCATCAAGATGATAACATTGCTGTTATGCACAAAATGGACTGCTCAGCCTTCAAAAATAGGCATTCATAGGCCCACCCCCCAAAAATAGCTTTGCAGCTGTATTTTCTGGAGTTCACTGATACAACTGGGAGTTGAGTTTTACTTCCTTCAAGAAGATCAAGGTGGCATTTAAGGTAGCTCCTCATTAGGGCAGGTTCCTCCTCTAATGTGGAGATCCTGCAGACCAATTTTGGGTGTAGCAGGAGGAAACGCTTCCCATTGTATACAGCATGAAGGCAGAGAACCTTGGGGGACAATGGGATATTTCTGGGGGTTGACCATGACTTGTTGGCTTAGAAGGTTTCCATCCTTACTTTCCACCAACTCACAGTGTGTCCTCTTTGTCTTTCTGTTAACCAGTAAACCTCAGTCGGAGACTCTGAAGGCTGGTGACCTACGGGCACGTATAAGTCGATGCCAAGTATGCATGAAGAGGACGTAATGCATCAGACTTGTATTAAAAAAACACCACAGCAACTGAGAAATCTTTTAATGCACTGTCCTTCAGCTATAATAATGGTGCTATTGTACAAAAGAAGAAGAACTTTAAAGAAGAGATGCTCCAGTTGATGCAGATCCCAGGGTCCCTCTCCCTGAAGATGATCCCAAAAGTCAACGTCTTGTGCTTTGGGGATTGGGGCGGGTTAGAAATTTTGCTAATAAATTAATTAATTAAAGGAATTGGTCGAGGGAACCGACCTTTTATAAGATCTGCAACTGAGAACTGACCTTTTATAAGAAAAGATATTCAAGACCTTTGAGGATTGGAACGATTGAAAAGTAAACGTTTTCCTGTAAGGACCGGAAATGTTTTGCCAAGTTGCCCTACCGAAAAGAAGTGCCACCCCCCAAAAAAGTCCTACAAGGAGGAGACTGCTGTGCCAAGAAACCTGACATCGTGGTGCTATTGATCCTACTGTATCCCCAGATTTTGATATGAAACGTTTAAACTTTTTTTTCCTTTGTAAGTAATGAAATGTGTATATTGTGTAAACACATTTTTTAGTTTCCAACTTCTCCATCATTTAGACACAAGCCAGCCTAAGTTCACTGACTTCACCAAAAGAAATCAAGCAAACCTATATAT